TGCTGCTATAAATAGCAGCCCTTGTTCTCCTTGTAAACCACGCTGAGTTCATTTAATAAAATCGACTCTCTCTCCTCCTATTTACTCTGACTTCTCTCTAGTTATTCCCGCAATAACCCCTCGGATAAGATACCCCCCGGGTAGACTTTCCATCAATGTACGGTACGCATATTATACATTTTATGCTTAAAGTACGTGTATAAATACTGAAAAATTCATAAATAGAAGTATAATACGCGAATTATACGTTTGAGTGTATTATAAGTGAATTGTACACGTATAAACTATAAACTAATAGAGCTTTATTGTCAGTCAAGCTAATCCAAGTGAGAAAGTCTTCAAAGTAGGGGTGGGTTCGGTTCTTGCGATTCAGTTTTGACCTAAAACCAAATATAGAATCAAAGTAAAAAGTTCGGTTTCACACTCCAAAACTTGGAACCACGGTTTGATTGGTTTGGTTTGTTTTGATTCGGTTTCGGTTTTTTCGGTTTTTTGCCAAAAAAATATCATTTGATTTAAAATTGATATAATACTTTGAGGGATCAAACATATTACATAAACAATGCAAACACACTACAATAAATAAAATGAAAATGAATAAATATGTCTTGAATTATATAAGTATGCGAGACTGCAAGAGAGATAAAAGTATATATATTATTAATTTACATTGTTTGTGACTAGTTCAAAAATAGTTCATGAGTATATATGTTCTATGAGATATGGTTGATCTGGGATGAATATTTGTTGAGAGAATTCCCTGTATATGAGCAAAAACGTTTTCAAATTTCAAAATAGGACTATCATGTTTTTTTATTCTCTGGATAGAAGTAAATTTCTGCCAAGTTTGACATTATTAGGCTTTAAACATGGCATTTTTTTCTTCCAAATTTGGCAGATTACTCATGTTCAAGGAATAAAAAACATGATAATCCTATATTGGAATTTCAAAACGTTTTTACTCCTATTTAGGGCAATTTCTGATATTTATTGTTTCATCAATATGAATTCTTTAAGTTAAATACAAATAAAAGTTAATTAATACTAATAACTAGTAAAAACATATTATCATCATTCAGTATAGCTACATTATTACAGACAATGAATGTGTAAATGAATTTATAAACTAAAAAAACTAATCTAAAATAAACATAACATAAACATTATTTCTCTAGCACAAAAAAACCAAAGACTATTAATGATATTAGGATTAGTTAGGATTAATGCATAACAATTGACAAATAAATTTTATATTTTAATTAGTTCGGTTTGTTCGGTTCGATTTTGAAGGGTAAAAACCAAAACCGAACCAAACAACTACGGCTCGATTCGATTTTTAAAATTCGGTTTTGGTTTGTTAGCGATTCGGTTTTATTTGACTACGATTCGGTATGATTTGATTCAGATTTCGGTTTTTCGGATCCAGTCCTACTTCAAAGGACAGAGATAGTAAGAGGTGGTTTATTCTGTAATCTGTGATGAAATCAACCGGGCAAAAGGATAACACAAAATACTCCAAAACATATGGCCCATGCAGGTCTCGAACCTGCGACCTTCGCGTTATTAGCACGACGCTCTAACCAGCTGAGCTAATAGGCCTTTGTGATGATGAGGTGTTTTTTAAGTATATAACTTCTGTTTTCAGGGATCGAAGTATGAAACTTTACAAAATCATTCATCCCTTTCCGAGTTTTCGTTCAAGGGTTTTAAGCATTTTAGACTGGAGTCGCACGGTCAAATCCCACAGAGATCGTAGAGAGAGAGAGGGTGAGCATTTGCAGAGAAATGGCGAAATCGTCAACCAGTAAGGATGTTCAAGCACTCTTCCAATCTCTGCGTTCTGCTTATGCCGCCACCCCTACTAACCTCAAGGTACGTACATCTTCCATTCTTCCTCCCTCTTATTCGTATGTTTTCACCTAGTGTTTTCGGAGATGTGTCTAAATCAGCAATTGTGTTTTTTCCTTTGCAGATCATTGATCTCTATATCGTGTTTGCTCTCTTTACCGCTCTCATTCAGGTGATTTGTCGAGTTCTGCCGTTTACAGATTTTCCATTTGCTAGTCTTTTAGTGCAGATCTGTGAATTCGCCTTTTTTGTTTTTGTTTTGGCTTGTCCCATTCTCTGGTAAAATTATTTATCAACGCAATGTGATTGTCTATGAGTCAACCTTCAAATTATTCATGGTCAACGCATGCAGTTATTTGCAATTGAGTCCAGAAGATGTTATGATATCATTGGTTTTGTGGTAGAATTTATTTCCAACTAGAGATTGTTACCTCCAAGAGCAATACTTGACATCGAATAGGACAGATAGATCCATGAGACTATGAGAGTGTTGTGTGACTTGGTTAGATTATTTTTTAAATGTCTTTTTCCGTAGAAATGTTTATTATCTGCTTTAACTTCCTGTTTGAGTTAGATCTTTTACAAAATGACATTTCTTTAGGAGTCTTAAGTTGTGTCTATTACAATGTGTCAAACTGTCAATGTAACCTGTGACCTTCTGTACCCATTTTCAAGAAAAGAAAAACAAGATTTTAAGAATATACTATCGTATATTTTATTTTTTTCTATTTATTACCATGGAAATTGAAATATGAATGTTGTTTTAAAGTCATTCACATATGGTTTGCAGTTTTGAATCTCTTAGTCCTTACATAATAGAATTAGATAAACAAATTGAGTCAGAACAAATATAAAATAAAGTGAGTTTGAGAAAATGTCTCATTTTACCTCACGTTTTATTTTGTTCCAAATTTCCCTTACACATTTTCTTACCCTAACTTTTTCCGAGTTCCAACTTCCAAAGGGACCCTAAAAGTACTGTCTCCGTATGGATAGATCATAGATGCACTGTTTTTAGAGATTGTTTTATAAAATAATTCAGTATGGTCTGACTTGTCCTTTTCTTTGTAACTAATTTTCAACTTTTATGCTCATGTTTTGTTTAGCATTGATGCCTAGTTTGTCTTGACCTGAAATATTCATAACCGTGTAGCCATTTATGTATCTGCAATTGTTGTTCATACTACCAGGTCATATATATGGCCATTGTTGGAACATTTCCATTCAATTCCTTTCTCTCAGGTGTACTTTCTTGTATAGGGACAGCAGTCCTAGCTGGTGAGCACTGTTATCTACATTTTCACTGCAATTAAAATCTTATGGTAAGAATTAGTTAATAATGAAGGATTTGGATTCTTTGTTCACAGTTTGTCTTAGAATCCAAGTAAACAAAGACAACAAGGAGTTCAAGGTAAGCAGTCTCTTAGCGAGTTAGCGCTCCTCAACTAGGCAAATCTTTTAATTATTTAAGCCCTACGAAACGGAAAACTGAGATTTCATTCTCCTATGAATTATTTCAAAGCTCACAAACCTAACTAGGAAAGTAACTCGGAGAATTTGTGTTCTCTGGCCCGCTTGGTAAGAGGGCTATATAGCCTATATGGCTGAAATGGCCGAAGCTGCCGAAGTTACTGAGAGGAAAAACATTTGGTAAGGTCCATTTTAGGCCAAATAATTAATCCACAAGCTCTATATTTCGGAGATGGGCTGAATAAGCCACATTTTGACTACATAGCAGAGACTAAGTTCATGATATTTACAAGTTACAATTGCTCCAAGTATTTCTCTCTGAAATTAAGTATTGGTCTGAATAGCGGAACTTAGAAATTATTGGTTCATCGGTTATTTTTGAATTTCTTATTCGTAGAATATTGACAAATCGTTATAATGTTGTTTTGTCTTGTGTTGTTAATATTTCAGGACCTACCTCCTGAAAGAGCTTATGCAGATTTTGTTCTCTGCAATCTAGTGCTCCATTTGGTGATCATGAACTTCCTTGGATAATTAACATATGCCTTATAAGTTTTCTAAATGCTTCTTTCTGTATGTCATTAGGCAGTTGAGGCATTGACATATACATGTGGAGACTTTTTAACATGATTACTATCGTTTACATTCACCTTATGAACCAGTATTTGTGGTGCTTCTCTGTAGCAATTTATTGGCACGTTAAGTTAAAAGTAAGAGATAAATACATAACTATACTTCATAAATATGCTCACTTGTTTTGGAATTATTTTGTGCTCTTGCTAGTCTGTGGTTCAGACTTTACACCACAAATCCTCCAGTAACATACTCCAAGGCTTCCAAGCTATTCATAGAATGCGGATGTAGAACTCTGTTTTTAAGGGTTATTCAGTTGATGTCGCAAAACCCACCAAATTTCATGAAAAGAAACACGTTTGTAAGATTTGTTTCAAATAAATAAGCATCTTAAATGATACTCTCTCCCTCCTGTAAAACTTGTCAAAGTTTTGTAGACATGTGGAATAAAAAAATAAAATATGTTTGATTAAGTTATGTTCTGTGTTTAGTTCCTAAAAGGCGAGCGCCACTAGCATTACAAGTGGAATAAAAAAAATTGTTTGATGGAGATGTGTTCTGTGTTTAGTTCCAGAAGACGAGTGCCACTACATTACTACAATTAAGGGCTTTAACATGAACTCATTTTTGGTTACACACTGACACCTTTACACAATTACTGATATTAAGAAAATTTAGGGAATGGATCTTTTAAAGAAGTGCAATGCATATGTGAGAAGATGTTAATTCCAAACATATATATGTAGCAGTTGATCTTATATATTTGTCTAATGCTTTTTTTTGGGATGTCGATCATTGATCCCCGAATTAATTCCATGTTTGTGTTATGAGTATTATCTCAATTTCATATTTAGTTCATGTCTTTCACTTTGTCCTCTTGTACTTGATTGATTTTTTTGATCATTTGTGGCCCTTCCTGTCAACTTTCTGATGTCTCTCTGGCAAATTTAGTCATCAGAAATATCGACAGAAGGATCATATAGGGGCGAAAAACAATAGTCATGTATCAAAAGTGGTCAAAGTGAAAGATGTGAATCAATTGTGAAATTGATATGATACTGTTGAGTTTAATCCAACACGATATAGTAAATATATGTATGAACACTCAGTTTTTACGTGGAAACTCGAAAGGGAGAAAACCACGGGACTTTTTAGGCTAATGTCCAAGCCCTCTCATTCTCATTAGGACTCTCCTCACCATTACATAGTACATTTTGAACTCCCATCAATGGAGTATTTGAGCTATTCTAAAGGAAGAAGGAAGAAAGAAGGGATCCCTAATATGGAGGGAAACTCCCATATTTATAGAGAATAGGGGAAGGGGATGCTCTCCACCCTAATGGGCCGCATGGGCCGGAGTGGGCCCAAATGGCTAAAGCGGGCCGGATGGGCCGAAATGGGCCTAGCTGCTCGGGCTCCGTACTACGTAAAGCCTTGGACTCCTGAACAGTAATAGGCCGGGATAATATATCCCAACACAAGTCCCCCAGTTTCTTGAGTAGTGAGCTCGCGAATCTGCTCGAGAAAATATACTCTGCCTGCGCTCTTCCTCTGTCTTGCTGGAAACTGTGTCTTCACATAATCATAATATATGAGTGAGTGTCTGCACTCCTGAACGTAATCTGCCGGTGAGGCACCCCCCTTCTCAACAGGGTCGGGCGAAGGGTGCTCCTCCACGGGAACACTCCCCCTGAATGCGTCAGGCGGGAGTAAGGACTCTGACTCGAGCTTTCCAATCGGAGAAGCTTAGAGGTCCATGCATCTATAAACCGACGCCGCGGTACTGTCAAAACACGATGCTCATGTGTATGTATGAATGTATGAGGTATGATGCATGAATGCATGAATGCATGTAATGTATGGGTGCAATGTATGGGAGAAGGAACGTGAGATGTGATGGAAAGCGGTGGCTCTCATCGATTACCCGGGCATGTCAGCGCCGAGAGGCAGACGTGCTGCATAAGAGATGTTCGTCGCCATCCTGGACGGGATGGGCGAGCCGAACATGAGACAGACACGATGGCACAGAGGCGCTGATCGTGCTGCATAAGAGATGTTCGTCGCCATCCTGGAAGGGATGGGCGAGCCGAACATGAGCCAGACACGATGGCACAGAGGCGCTGATCGTGCTGCATAAGACGTTCGTCGCCACCCTGGAAGGAATGGGCGATCCGAACGTGAGCTGGGTACGATGGCGCTGAGGGGCCGATCGTACTGCATAAGACGGTCGTCGCCATCCTGGAGGGAATGGGCGATCCGAACCGTGAATCAGGACACGATGGCGCTGAGGGGCCGATCGTGATGCATAAGACGTTCGTCGCCACCCTGGAAGGGATGGACGAGCTGAACGTGAGCTGGGTATGATGGCGCTGAGGGGCCGATCGTACTGCATAAGACGGTCGTCGCCATCCTGGAGGGAATGGGCGATCCGAACCGTGAATCAGGACACGATGGCGCTGAGGGGCCGATCGTGATGCATAAGACGTTCGTCGCCACCCTGGAAGGGATGGACGAGCCGAACATGAGCTGGGTACGATGGCGCTGAGGGGCCGATCGTACTACATAAGACGGTCGTCGCCATCCTGGAGGGAATGGGCGATCCGAACCGTGAATCTGGACACGATCGCGCTGAGGGGTCGATCGTGATGCATAAGACGTTCGTCGCCACCCTGGAAGGGATGGACGATCCGAACGTGGGCTGGGTACGATGGCGCTGAGGGGCCGATCGTACTGCATAAGACGGTCGTAGCCATCCTGGAGGGAAATGGGCGATCCGAACCGTGAATCAGGACACGATGGCGCTGAGGGGCCGATCGTGATGCATAAGACGTTCGTCGCCACCCTGGAAGGGATGGACGAGCCGAACGTGAGCTGGGTACGATGGCGCTGAGGGGCCGATCGTACTGCATAAGACGGTCGTCGCCATCCTGGAGGGAAATGGGCGATCCGAACCGTGAATCTGGACACGATGGCGCTGAGGGGCCGATCGTGATGCATAAGACGTTCGTCGCCACCCTGGAAGGGATGGACGAGCCGAACGTGAGCTGGGTACGATGGCGCTGAGGGGCCGATCGTACTGCATAAGACGGTCGTCGCCATCCTGGAGGGAAATGGGCGATCCGAACCGTGAATCAGGACACGATGGCGCTGAGGGGCCGATCGTGATGCATAAAAATAGTGATGATCATCTCATGGCCCTCAGCCTCTCACGGCCCTCGGCCGTGCTGGTGATGTGTCAAGTCTCTCTCCTGATTGGCTGTGAGAAGCCGATCGTCTGCCAGGACTCCATCCGGGAAGGAATGGTGAGCCTGAAATAAATCCGGGCGATGTCCCTCCTACCTGATCTGGGGAGCTAATCGTCGTTCGTCTACCGTATCCGTGGTCCTATGTACGGACCGCTAAGCGGTGTACACTCGGTACGCAACAGACTCCGGTGGAGAACTGGTCCTGCGTGTCTGACCCATGGGGCTGGTCTTCGTTCGTCTACCGTATCCGTGGTCCTATGTACGGACCGCTAAGCGGTGTACACTCGGCACGCAACAGACTCCGGTAAAGAACTGGTTCTTCGTTCTTCCCAAGTCTCGTGAGTACTGGTCTCCTGGTTTCGCAGGAGACGTTCGTCATCCCAACTATGAGAAGAAACAGGTTTATCCACGTCGGGATTCCCTATTCTTCGTTCGTCCCTGTCGTGGTCCTACTAACCTTCTTACTTCGAAGAAGACGTTCGGTCATCCAACGATCGCAAGGAGGAACAGGTTTATCCACGTCGGGATTCCCTATTCTTCGTTCGTCTCTGTCGTGGTCCTACTAACCTTCTTACTTCGAAGAAGACGTTCGGTCATCCAACGATCGCAAGGAGGAACAGGTTTATCCACGTCGGGATTCCCTATTCTTCGTTCGTCCCTGTCGTGGTCCTACTAATCTTCTTACTTCGAAGAAGACGTTCGGTCATCCAACGATCGCAAGGAGGAACCGGTTTATCCACGCCGGGATTCCCTGCTTCGTCGTCCCATGCTCGTGGCCCTACTAGCCTTCTGCTCTGGCAGAAGGTGTTTGTCGAACCACGGGTCATGGGAGGAACTGGTTTATCTTGCCGAGGTTCCCTTTGGTACGTCTAGCCCCCCCCCCCCCCCCCCCCACGTTCCTACTAGCCTCCGCGTCGGGAGACGTTCGTCATACGCGGCGAAGGAAGATCAGGCATACCTCGTCAAGACTCCCTCTCTCATAGGAGCTTCTCTCTCCCCTTCTCCCCATCTTTTTTTTTTCTTTTTTTTTTTTTTTTTTGAGGGAGGAAAATACGTTCGTCGATTTCCAAGAATGACCACAAGTGATGTCACACATAATGGTGGTGGGATACCAAAATGAAGTGGATGACGAGGCGATGGAAATGCTGGTCGTCATGCGAAGGCGATGGTCACCCTCCTGGGGGGAGGGGTGAGCCCGATCGCTAACTCAAGAAGGTCGGCATCGGGAGCCGATATACAATGATCATAATGTCGCTGAGCAGTCGGTCCTGATAATGGAGATGACAATAGTGTCCGGTCAGGCCGATATATTCGAGCAACGGCTCTCATCCAACGCAGCGCGGGGATGAAACCGGTCTTCAAAAGATAAATATGTCGTGCCTAGAGGCCGAACATAACATGATAGTGTCGGCAGTGAGAGGCCGACCTGAAAGAATCAAACTACGGTCCTCGTCCGCGAGGTGGCGGGGATGAGGCCGGTCTTCAAGAGATAAGCACGCCGAGCCGAGAGGCCGGTCGTGGTATAATAACATCGACAATGAGAGGCCGATCTGAGAAAACAAGCAACGGCCGTCATCCGCGAGGAGCGAGGATGAAACCGGTCTTCAAATATGGAAAGAACGCCGAGCCGGGAGGCCGGTCGTGATACAACGGTGTCGTCAATGAGAGGCCGATATGAGAAAACAAGCAACGGTCCTCATCCGTGCAGTGCGGGGACGAGGCCGGTCTTCAAATAAGATAATCACACCGTGCCGAGAGGCCGGTCGTGATATAATGGTGTCGGCGCTGAGGGGCCGACAGAGAGAATCAAGCAACGGCTCTCATCCGCGAGGAGCGGGGATGAGGTCGGTCTTCAAGTATGGAACACACGCCGTGCCGAGAGGCCGGTCGTGATATCATAGTGTCGGCAATGGGAGGCCGACCTGATGTAAGGATGGTCTCACGGCCCTCGGCCGTGATGGTCTCCTCTAGGCCCTTGGCCTCTGAATGATGGATGATCGTCTCACGGTCCTCCGCCGTGGTAGTCCACTCTAGACCCTCGGCCTCTAGGTGTTCTCTCCTAGGCCATCGGTCTCTGGGGTGGAGATGCTCGTCTCACGGTCCTCAGCCGTGATGGTCTCCTCTTTAGCTGGCCCTGAATGTCTTCAAGACTCGGGCCGAGCGTCTTTTAATCATTTCGCTCGAACGCGTCGAGCGGCTTCAGCTGCGCAATAAGCATGATAACGGGCCGCACGGCCCGACAATATGTATACACACATAACCATCTGCATGGCTTCCTCTTTAACATCCACGATTACCGGCCTATGGGTCATCGTGACCCTCGGCCCGGCTCATCGTGCGGGGTTAATGGACGTAGCAGCTCGCGGCGGGGCCAATTGGCAGCCCGCCGAACGTCACATAGAGATATTCATCGGTCCGTGAGTTTTCAAACTCAGACCCAAGTTGGTCGCACTGCCCTCAGAAAAAGGAGGTTGGGTGCTTTGGTGCCTTCGGGCCCCACAGGCCGCGTTTGGCAATAGTCACTTCGCGCCTAATGGCGTAGATGATATTGGGGTACGATCGTCGATCGGGCACGTAGTGCCGTGCGGACTAACGTGCAACCCTCAAATTAAAATGCGTCGTCGGGGCATCGCCCTACTGGAGACGCTCGGATCGCTTAATCAAGCTGATCGGGAGTGGGCTAACGGGCCCACAAGAAATTAAATATTCAATCAAATGCTGGCTGAACCAACCATCACTAGAGTTTCGCTCCACATTATTTAATTCGGGACATTTTATCCCTAATAAATAATAGTGATATAACGGGTAACAGCAATGATATTATCCTATCAAAGGCCATTCAGGTATACTCCGTTCGCTAATTAAAGCCGATCAAGAGCGGGCCAACGGGCACACAACAACCCATCATTAATTAAAATGACGGTGAAATTAATTATCACTAGAGCTTTACTCATTTGAGCTTTGCTCGACATTATTTAATTTTGGGGTATTTGCTCCCTATTAAATAATGGTGATAAAAATACTAGCATTACTAATAGTTCCAACTACTCCGTATTAATAATCGAAAATATCAACTTAAAGGATCGGTACTTAGCTTTTTGAGTTATAGGTTCGGCCAGATAGTTTCTGGTGCATTGAGATCAAGCCCCTTTCCCCAATTGACTTGGTCAAAATCTCTCCAAGGAAAATGGCATCCCATTATGTGGCCTCAACTTGCAGGACGTGGTCAGCTTGTGACCCTAGCAATTTATACGGAGTATCTTTTGGACAGCTAGATGAAGAACCTACTTCACTTGTAGGCTCGTCGACCCCAACCAAGCGGAACATGCAGCTTGATGACGGTGGAGATGGCTTCTGCGGCGGAGCACGGGTGGCCACGGCTGCTAGTCTCTGGTGGAGGTTTGGCCGAACCATGAAGCGTAATTCTCTGAACTTCAAGCTGCCATTAATGGCAGAAATCGAGGAACTCTCGGCCGGAATTCCTTCCCAGGCTTGTCGACGGAGGAGTTGGGGCCCGAGCAGCGAGTGGCCAGACGGAGGAGTGGCCACCGGCTCGCTGCCGACGACGGATGATGGTGCTGTGTCGAAGTTGGGGAAATGAGCTCCAACCGATGAACAGTGCTGCGGAGGAGGAGTTCTCCTGAAACCGAGATCTTGAGACCTGGGATGCTGCATCGGTCTCCGTCTGGCGCGGCTGACTCACCGGAGGGTCCACCGCGGCGGGAAGGGTGACGACGGCTCCGGCGACCCCAAACCCAGATCTGGAGAAATCCAGACTTGACTTCCCTGAATCTTCCCTCCAGAAATTTTTCTTCTTTTTTTGGTGAAATCAGTCCGCTTCGTATGAATTTTTCTCGGAGAAACTCAAGAACAGCAGAATACATGAATCTTTTTTGACAGATTCCCACAGACGGCGCCAGTGTTGAGTTTAATCCAACACGATATAGTAAATATATGTATGAACACTCAGTTTTTACGTGGAAACCCGAAAGGGAGAAAACCACGAGACTTTTTAGGCTAATGTCCAAGTCCTCTCATTCTCATTAGGACTCTCCTCACCATTACATAGTACATTTTGAACTCCCATCAATGGAGTATTTGAGCTATTCTAAAGGAAGAAGGAAGAAAGAAGGGATCCCTAATATGGAGGGAAACTCCCATATTTATAGAGAATAGGGGAAGGGGATGCTCTCCACCCTAATGGGCCGCATGGGCCGGAGTGGGCCCAAATGGCTAAAGCGGGCCGGATGGGCCGAAATGGGCCTAGCTGCTCGGGCTCCGTACTACGTAAAGCCTTGGACTCCTGAACAGTAATAGGCCGGGATAATATATCCCAACAGATACCTTTAGGGCTTTAGGATGAAAAATAGAATTTACCCATTGATCTCACTTATAAACATTGTTCCCCAAAACACCATTGCCTATTTGTAAAATTAAACTCCACTATAAAGATCTAGGTAACAGAAACTCCTCCCACATTACTAAGTATCATGTTCCAAGTCATTGTCAACACTTTACGATCTTAAAGACAGTCTATATGATATCATGCTTAGTGCCATTTGGAAAGGCAAGTAATATTCATCCAAAATTCTGACATAGAAAAATAATTTTTAAATCAAAAGTATATCTTTCAAATTTCATTCTGTTGCTTCAAAATACCAATTGTGCTTCGTGGGTGACTTACCCCAAGCGATTAATCATACCTGTTTGAATAGTTCGACAAACATACTTTCATGCTTAATGTTATATGTTCACTCATCACTTGCAATAAGTTGTAATGAGAAATTTAGAATGTTTAGTCCTTCTAGGTTTAAATAGCAATGCAAAGCTATATGCCACTTTGAGACTGTCTATACTTGCAATCTTGCATGTGTCCAAACAAAAAGGCACGCCAAGATTTCTCGTCTAATAACATTTATTCATCATTCATGTCAATCACCATCTTCATAATTCTCGATCTTAACAATAATCCCACATTTATTCATCATTCATGTCAATCACCAACTTCATAATTCTCGATCTTAACAATAATCCCATAATATTATTCGTTGAAACTAGAGAGACAGAGAGTCCCCTCTATTTCTCACACAGAATAGAAAATGAAATGTAGATATCTATGCAGATGATAATGTGACTTTAGAGAGGGTGAAATGAATGAAGACTATACACACGGAGAATAAATCTTATGTTGTGTGCAGGATTATTCCTGTCCGGAATTTCTGGACAGGAGCCCTGTCCGGTCTCCTTCATTTGGGGGCCTTCCCGGTGGTTTTTTTTTTTGCTCAAATTTTTTGTGTATGTTCCTCATCAAGTCTAGTTCATCCATACCAAATTTCAGCAAAAAATTCAATCGGGAAGGTCTTCAAATGAGTTTTGCAAGTTAACTTGTCCGGAATATGTATTTTCCGGACCAGTTAACTTCCAAAAATCATTTGGCGATCTTCCGGATTGAATTTTTTGCTGAAATTTGGTATGGATGAACTAGAATTGATGAGGAACATACACAAAAAATTTGAGCAAAAAATAACTTCGGGAAGGCCCCCAAAAGGAGGAGGCCGGACGGCGCTCCGGTCAGGAAATTCCTGACCGGAAGATTACTCATGTTGTGTGTATCCCTCTTTCTCAATATAATGTTTTTAGTTACGATAGCATACGACAATTCATGTTAACTGATCTTGAATGCCTTTGAGCACAATGCTAAGTAAGTTGTTGTTATACTTCATACAATAAAGATAAGTCACTACGAAGCAAATAGTATGAAGTAATGTAGAAAATCTCTTTTTAGGTAGAAACAACTTATTTTCATTCTCTCAAATCGAATTCTAAATAAAAATGTCTTAAATCTGAAATGAATTGAACTTTACGTCCCATTTTGACCGAATTTGAATTTGCTTGAGATTCACATATTAAACATTAAAATTTGCCCCCATTAGTTTTTAAAATTGGAGTCTGCACTAGTTTTAGGGGGTGTTTGGATCTGATTCTCAAAACTGATTCTGCTCCTTGAAGGAGCAGAATCAGAAGCTGGAGTGTTTGGGTGAAATTCCAGAAGCACTTCTGGTGCTTTAATTTACTCCCAGAATCAGTTTTTTTTAGAAGCTGGGGGGTACCAGCTTCTGAAAACTGATTCTGCTTCTGCTTCTGCTTTAAAAAAGAAGCAGAAGCAGAATCAGTTCCAAACACCCCCTTAATAGATTGTTTTGGATTGCAAAAACTTGTTACTCCGTATTTGTAAAAAAGGACGTAAAGTCGTAAACACAAATTTGATTTAAAAAGGGAGTGCAAACTAAAAAAAACTTAATCCAACCGACTAGGAAATAAGAAAAAGCCTTTGTGAACGGCCGTGTTAACCCACACACCTTCTCCAGACTGCCCCCTTCATTTTCTTAAACCCTTCGACCCCTCAGACTGGAGCTTACTAGGGTTTTAGCAGATCCCGCTGATCATGGGTAGCATTATTCTGAGGAAGTCATCTTCATCGCCGGTCAGAAAGGGGATTCATCTTGCTGCTCTACCGCATCTCTTTTATTCAAAGTCGTCTGCCTCAGAAATCAATGGTTCCAGAAGTGTTCCCTCGATCCCCCGCTCCTCCACTGCTTCTAATTCCCCATCTATTGGGATTTTAAATAAGCCGCCACACGCGCTAGCACAAACTGTTAGGGCCTTGCACGTCTCACGGCCGTTGGCTGCTGGAGTGGCTGCGGCTCGTTTGCCTGAGGAGGATGAAGGACTTGAGATCTCTAAGCTTGGCATTGCTCAGGAAATCGTCTCTGCCTTGGCACGGAAGGGAATAACTCAGCTCTTTCCTATTCAGGTATTTGATGGAAAACAGAAAAGGGGGGCCTTTTCCCACTTAGTTTACACTTTGGAACTTGTTGTTTTGATGGAACGTTGTATGGTTTTTGTTTGATGTTAATTGTCTTTTCTTTGTCCAATAAGTCACGATAAATGTGAAAGATATCTTTTTTTTTTTACCCCTAACATTTGCATCTCAACCTGGTTATGAAATCGATTGTTATTATCAAATACATTCATCTTGATATTCTGGGTTTTATATACTTTTCAATTATGGCTTGTAGAGAGCAGTCTTGGAACCAGCAATGCAGGGGCTTGATATGATAGGTCGAGCTAGAACTGGAACAGGGAAGACTCTAGCTTTTGGGATTCCAATCATGGATAAGATCATCCGATACAATGAGAAGCATGGGTATGTCAATCTTTTTTGGTGAATTCTATAATAATTTGTAATAATGTCAGCATAAATCTAAGTTGGGCACAATGAATGGAAACCTTGCTGAAGTTTAAGGAGATTAATTTGGACCTTTTCGGGCTCCTCAAATGTGCAGGAAGGGGAGGAATCCTTTAGCATTGATATTGGCTCCTACTAGAGAACTTGCCAAACAAGTGGACAGAGAATTCTACGAGTCTGCTCCTAATTTGGACACTTTGTGTGTTTATGGAGGTGTCCCTATTGGAAAACAAATGGGTACACTTGATCAAGGTGTTGATGTAGTTGTTGGGACACCAGGTCGGATTATTGATCTGATTAAAAGGGGTTCATTAAATTTATCGGAACTTCAGTTTGTTGTTCTGGATGAAGCTGACCAGATGCTTAATGTTGGCTTCGCTGAGGATGTTGAAAGGATTCTACAAAGTGCACCAAAGAAGCGTCAGACTTTGATGTTTTCAGCTACAATGCCTGGATGGATCTTGAAACTCACCCAACAGTTCCTTAAGAATCCTGTAGAGATTGATCTTGTGAGTATAAGGTTCTTTGAATGCAAAAGTATATTATAGTTTGAAGTTTGCAATTTTTAAGCTTTTTATGGCGGTATGCTATGTCACTCACCAGTGCAATGTATACTTTTGCTTCAGGTTGGGAACTCTGATCAGAAACTTGCTGATGGGATTTCCTTGTATTCAATTGCCTGTGACACACATCAGAAAGCTGCAGTTCTTGGCCCTCTAATAACAGTATAAATTATTACTAGTATCCCTGTATTCTTAACACAAGATAATTTACCCATACTTATTTGGCCATGCCGTCATGTTAATGATAATGCATTAATTTCCCACATCCTACTCAGTGTATGGGAGAATTACAACCCTTGTAATTTTCTGAAGGGTTGTTTCCTTGGTATTAACCTGTGGCTCTGTGCTAGCCTTGCAACACACATCTGCATCACAATAAAAAATTGTAACATTTGAAATTCGTACTTTCGTCTGATGGGAGCACTCTATTGTTCTTTAGGAACATGGTAAAGGAGGGAAGTGTATTCTTTTCACACAAACAAAACGTGATGCCGATCGGCTAGCTTATGCCATGCAAAAAAGCTTCAAATGTGAAGCATTGCATGGGGATATCTCACAAAACCAAAGAGAAAGAACACTGTCAGGTTTCCGAGATGGCCACATCAATGTATTGGTGGCCACTGATGTTGCTGCCCGAGGTCTTGATGTCCCCAATGTTGATCTGGTTAGTCTGCAAGTGATGTTTCAGGCTTTCAGCTTGTGTGAATAATATTTCGAAGAAAAAATTTTCATCATTTAATTTAAGTTATCCTGAAAGGTTTTTTCTCCCCTCAGGTCATACATTACGAAATTCCGAACTCTTCAGAGATTTTTGTTCATCGATCTGGCCGTACAGGACGAGCTGGCAAGAAAGGAAGTGCAATACTCATGTATTCGTATCAGCAAATGAGGGATGTTAAAGGTATTGAGCGGGAAGTAGGGTGCAAATTTATCGAGGTATGACCACATGAGATGATCTGTCATAATTTTTTAAATTCTTATTATATTTATATTTCTGTGCTATGCTGAGAGATACCTCACTTGGAATTGTTAATATAAAAATAACCCTGATTTATTAGTTATATGTATCTTGAAGTTCTATATCCAGTTGGTCTTAATGTTTTTTATTTTGTGGCAGTATTTTCTTCATTGTGCTTAAATGGATTGTAATGACTAGTAGTTGATGCTTGAGTAAATGAATAAGAATGGGAACTGTTTCAATTGGTTTTTCCTTCTATATGGAATCACAGTGTTTGGATATGAATGTATGATAACTGGAAGCATTGATAATCACAGGGTGGTATCTGTTACCTTGCATGAAGCTTGAAGTAACTGGTAGTTGATTATGTTAGGTGGCATCTTTCATCTAATTGCAGGGTAACTGGTAACTGGAAGTATTGATGATCATGCTGAAGCTTGTGAAATAAGCTTCACATTATATTTGTTGGCAGTTATCTTATAAACCTGGTGTTTGAATAAGTAAAGATGGAAACTTACTTAATTTGATTATTGTGATTAACTCATTAACTGATTATAGATTTAAAAATTATGACTACCTGTTTGGTTGGGGGTCATTCCGTGTTAATTATTTTAAACCACGATGAAATTTGATTGGAATGGTGGAAGTTGAAATTGTTAATTGGGTCTGAGAATTGATTGAATGGCTGGGAGCTGAATTTTCAAAAGAGTATATATTTTCTTTCTAAATAAAATGATGCATGGCAATAAATGTAAACTATAGAAGTGTCAATTCCGTTCATTCCAATAATTTCATTGAATCAGTAACATATGCTCTACACTTTATATTACCAATATGTGCAACTAACACAGCTAAATGAGTTGGTGGTCAGTGCGAAATCTAATTGATAAGTTGGAAGAACTATTTTACCAAATGGACCCTAAATACCTTTTGTAGCTCCCAAAGATCGAAGTAGACGCTGGAGCAGCAAGCATGTTGGGTGACATTGGAGGTGGTAATGACCGTTTTGGCTCTAATAGAGGCTTTGGAAGTGGCCGCTTTGGTGGAGGTGGTGGAGGCCGCTTTGGAAATGGAGGGTCATCTTATGGTAGTGGATCTTCTTATGGTAGTGGTGGGCGTGGGTTTGGTGGGCCTGCTACAGGACGATCTGGTGGTGGATTTAGTTTTAGTAATGAAGGGCGTTCTGGGAATTTTGGAAACCGGCAACCAGGAAATTTTGGAAGTCGCAGTTCGGGTGGATCTGAAGGATTTGGAAATTTCAGCAACAGTTCAGGTGGATCTGGCGGCTTTTTTGGAGATAACAATCAAAGTTCCCGGAGACCTTTTTAACCCTGGTACATGAATAATTAGTTCATTTTTTCGTATAGTAGCTACTACGGAGTACACCTCTAAAACAATTGATTGTATGTTTGTGCACAACTGCACACTCATACATGGAAATAAGAAATATATTGACAAATATTTGACCAAAAGAAAAAACAGTGGATCAAAAATATGACCTTTGATGTATAATTACCATGGTGCTGTTTTTCTCCATGGTATGGTGACCATGGTGGTATTCCTTCAAAATACAAACTCACAAAGTGACCATGGGTGGTCTTTTAAAGTGACCATCAGTGGTATTTTTGTCCATGATTTTTGTTTAAATGCCTATAAGCATTACTCCAATGACTAAAACATAACATGCCGTTGAAATTGAAAAGAAAATAGACGCCATCTTTTTTTTATACACTTTCATTCCCTTTTGAAGTCGTACATTTTAATGCTTTTGCTTTTTTGTTGAGCAGATGAACGTTTGCGTGCATAAAGAGTAGCAGGGTGTGGAGAAACACGTATTTCATTGCTCTGAAATGCCATTATAGACAGAGTTGGCATAGTAGAAAAGTGTACCCTTTTGTGTAGGAAATCCCTCCCTTCCATTTCGCTCTCATTCTTCCTCTTTCGTTGATAGTTATTATTGATTTGGCTACCTTGGAATAATGTTTATCACATTTCATATTTATACCTAGTGCTGTCATTGTCCCTCTCTTGTTGAAAATCAATCCCAATCCAGATGTCATATTAAGTTATGTTCTGACTTTAAGATTAGTTGTTGGTTGGGTTCCTTTAACTTTCCGTATTGTGCAGCTGCTTCCTTGGATCAACTTGTTTCCTTTTGGCTTGCTAAAGAATTTATGTCTGTTTAATAGTTGATATAACTCAAATAAGGTAAGCTGTTAGTTTTTAAAATATAAAGTACAGTGGTTTAGTCCTTATTTATTTGGTGGGAAGTTGGAACGTATTCCCTTTTTCAGGATATTTTGTTATTAACATGAGTTTCTTTAATTATTTAGTCTTTCATTTACCAATAAATATTCTTACTTTTTAATCTTCCATTTCATAGATTTTGATCTATCTTTTCTACTTTTGTATTCATTCATCACTTATTTCACTCTTAAATTCCGTGAAAGGTCTATAATTGCTTGCAAGTGATTGAGTATGATGAGAGTATTGAGTATTACAGATACAGAGTATTACGGACTTGTTATTTACCTACCTATCTATCGTGATACGAATTTTTGTAGTTATGACTAGGGATGGACTGGGACCGGGATGGCTGACCCGGGACCCGGCTTGGTCCACCACTGTGCAGGCCAGACACGGTCTGGTGAACCAGGACCTAGGACTGGGGGCCTGAACCGGTTGATATTGGCCTTATTGGGGTGGGCTACGTCGAAGAATAAGTGGACTGGCCCGGTTGAGCTGGAGCTACTTGGGTCGATTTTTTTTTTATTTTTTTGGGCTGGCTGCTAGATGGGTTGGGCTAGGCAGTTTGGGGGGTGGGGCAGGGTTGGAATTAATTCCAAAAGACGCAAAAAAAATATATATGGTCCTGATGCCCGACCCGATTCTGGTTATAACCGGAGTCGGTACCGGGCTCAGTCTACCCCTAGTTATGACGAACTAGAAATTTGAAGAAATTTTGGGAACAGTTTTATTATTGATGTAAGAATTAAGATAAGGTAACAAGAGTAATAACAATAGAATGGGAACACTTGATGGTGGGCGTAGCTCAATAGATGTGTAGGGGGTGAGTAGGGATGGATTTGGTCTGGTCCTGGTTCCGGGTTGAGACTGCTTAGTAAAAAAATCGCTTGGACCTGGGTTTTGAACTGGGTTTTTTGGGTATGCGCTCTTTCCGAGTACTTGTTTGCTCCCTATCTGAAGCCTACAAATATGTGGATTGAGACCCAGAATTGTCAGATTAAGCTCCCAAAACTTTAAATTGGGACCGTGAATTGCTCTAGGACGAACAAGTGTTCCTAGGCTTGAAATTGCTCTAAAGGGACTTTGTCCGGTCCCAAACAATAGTGGACCTGGCTAGATCGGGTTCGTGCTTAGGAGTGCCACAAGGGGAAATTTTCAGTTTCAAATTCTAGCAATTGTTATAAGATGTTATTATGTAAAAATGCATAACTTTGTGCAAGTATTTGATCGAAAGTCTCATTCTTATCTGTCAGCTTGTGTCATGTGATTATAGTACGATTTACATCTAAATACTACCTCCGTCCTGTTGGAAGGTTCACATAGCAAAACGACACAGTTATTTAAACAATAATTAAATAAAATACTTCGAATATATTTTGAGAAATCATTTTAATATGTATATATTATAATGTACGGAGTAGTTAATATTAATAACTGTGATGTTATAAATGTATTATTTTTAATATTTAATGACTAATTTGTCACTTAAGATTGTTAATTATTTCCTAAAATGGAAATGAGAACCTGTATATGGGACGTCTAAAAAAAGAAAGTGAGAATCTTCTAATGGGACGGGGGGAGTAGTTAAGTGTTCGTTCGGTGCTGAGATTTCAGGATAGGGTGCCGATGTGTCAACTAATATCACACAATTGTATATTATAGAGAGAATTCCCTAAATAGGAGTAAAAACGTTTTGAAATTCTAAAATAGGAGTATCATGTTTTTTTATATCCCCTAAATAGGAGTAAATTTCTGCCAAGTTTGGGTATTACAAGGCTTTAAACATGACATTTTTTTTTCAAAGTTGGCAGATTACTCCTATTCAGAGAATAAAAAACATGACACTTCTATTTTGAAATTTCAAAACGTTTTTACTACTATTTAGGACAATTTCTATATATTATACTATTATGTGAAATTTCTATATATTATACTATTATGTGGAGTAAATTTTTGCTAAGTTTGGGTATTACAAGGCTTTAAAAATGACAGTTTTTTTAAACTTGGCAGATTACTCATATTCAGAGTAAAAAACATGACACTTCTATTTTGAAATTTCAAAACGTTTTTACTACTGTTTAGGACAATTTCTATATATTATACTATTATGTGGAGTAATAAATTAATTACTTCTGTTACAATAAAGATGAGCTACGCCCACAAGCGAGTGAATGAGGATAATGTATTTATTCAAGAAACAATCTTTTACATTGTTTAGAAACGAGTAATGATTTATGTAAAGAAAATGATAAAAAAGTAAGTTAAAAAATAGGCGCTGATTTTGTAAAATAAAAAGGTTAAAGGAAATTAAATTAAAAGTTCATAACATATTTCCCAGACAAGCTTAATCCAGCTTTCCAAGTAAACACTGTCCCAAATTTCATTTAACTTAAAAAGTACAGCTATAACATGTCATACCAAACATGAAACATAGACATGCACAACGTTCTAATTAATAAAACTCAACATATATTATTGTCATCTCTTTTACTATACCAAAGCTCGTGTTTTTCATTTAAAGTCGAAAGTCATAAAAATTAACATGTCAATAATTCAATTAATGGCAGAGGACTTAAAATGAGTTGTTGACTAATTTTTAAGTTGAGATACTCGTTATCTTTAATACATTTATTACCATTTTAAGTAATCCATACAAACTAATTTTTAATTAGAGATACACGTCATCATTAATATATTTATGACAATTTTAAGTAATCCATACAAAAGTACTTATCATATGAAATGATACGGAGTATGAAAGTTGTCTTTTGTTATAAAATATTATCGATCATAAAGTAGAAACTTTAAAAGTTTTGGAAAAATATATTAGCTATAATTTTTTTTTACGTTTGTCATCATTAACTAGAAAAGTAAGGATAACTAATTAAAAGAGACGGGTAGTATAATTGCAAATCACATTAAGAACTAACAATTCTTTGAACACTTAATTTAACTAGAAAAGTACTTATTTGATTGGTTGATATTAATTTTTAATGAGTTAAATGACCAGATTTCTATAAAAACATTGCTCCATGTATTTTGTTAATATAACTCTCAAGTAGTTTATATTGCTTGCTATGAATTCTAGAGTTTGTGTAATTATAGAATGAAAAAAAAAAACTGTGCAAAAATTGGTGATAATGCCGGTGAAAGCACGTTATTGTAAAGAGGAAAGTTTCAATAAACTTATATTGAATTTAAAGGGATTTTAAGACAAATCCTATGAGCTAGCTTCAATTATCAGCTAAATATCTTGATACAGAATCGAAATATTTCTACTAGATATCAATTTTGAGACTTCAAACGAATACTTCCTCCGTTCTTTTTTAGTTGCAACGGTCAACATTTCACATTTGCCAACGCACATCTTTGACCGTAATTATATCTTAATCCCTATTAGTAAAAAATATTTAAAAATTAGATTTTGAAAATTTGTAATGAGATGAATTGAGCAATATAATTTTAAAAAAATAATTTTCATAAAATAATAATATAAAATGTAGTCAAAGTAGAACATGTGAATAGTGTAAAATTCAACATGTTGCGATTAAAAAGAGACGGAGGATAGTATAAAATAGATATTAATGACGCGCACAATATCCCATTCTTTCCATCGTATCTGAAAAATATACTCCATATTACAGATTGTCATATCCATACACTTGGTCCATAATATTTGGTGGACCGTGGCTCTGTTTATTTTATTTCTTTTGTGCAAGACCATGGCTCTCTAACTCTCTTTATCAAGTATTGGACATTTAATTTCACTCTCATTTTTTTATTCCTGAATAGAAGTAATTATTGACATATGATAGGATTGTACTTTAAAGAATTTTTCAAACTTGACAATAATTATTTATATTTAGAAAATAAAAATATGATCATCATCTTACTTGCGAAGTCCAGAACATTTTTTCTCATATTTGGTGAATTTACATATCTTAGCTACTCATTACGTTTTTCAATATACGGAGTGCTATTTATACACGTACATGAATACTCAAAAATCAAAATGCGTCCTTTTGATATTTATTGTGGTTAATTTTTCTGTCAGCTTCAATTTCATTGACTTGATAGTACCAAACGATTTTAATCATTTAATTAATATATGCATTCAGATTATGAGTTAACCAGTGAAAAAAGTGGTCAGGAGACTTGATAATATCAAATAAGGCAATTATTTATGTATATGATTATATAGTATAGCCAAATAATATTGTGGTTTGATGACATCATTCCGATCAATGATGTTGACATTATCATGAACAAAAATTATAATAAATTTAACAATATTTCAAAAATGATTATACGGAGTATATGATAAAGACCCTTAAATATCATCACAAATAAAAACCATGTTTAACCTTGTTTTCTTCCTAGGATGGGGGCAACGAAACTATTAATTCGAAACGTAGTGACGAGATAACTGAAACTCAATAGATCAAAATAAAATTATCAATATAAATTGTCTTAAATAGGAGTAAAAACGTTTTGAAATTCCAAAATAGGATTATCATGTTTTTTATTCCCTGAATAGGAGTAATCTGCCAAGTTTGAAAAAAATGACATGTTTAAAGCTTAGTAATATCAGAGGATTAAAAAGATGATAGTCCTGTTTTGAAATTTCAAAAAAATTTACTCTCATTTAAGGAATTCTCTCTAACATCAATTGTAATTGAAACCAATCAAAACGGCAAAACTAATGATGTTATAATTGTGAGTTTAATTTGCAATTTATGGTTTAAGCTTTAATTTGTAACCGAACTAAGATAGCCAGATTGAAGCCGATTGAACTAAATTAAATTTGTACTTTTGATGTTTTCTAGCAAAATGTTACTCTCTAGTTGTCTACATACGTGCTATTAAATGAGGAATGTGGTGTGATTATTAA